AGGGGAAACAAGTCCATCTCACTGGACTCTGACTTGTCCCTACCATGGGCAGATCTCAGACCTGTAGACTAACACCACATTCAGAATCTAACCAGCTCTCTCTCACCGTCTCCATCTTGAGTTCTTAAGAGGACAGGGCCCAGACCGCCCTTGTGCTTCGTGGTCCAGCAATGCTGCTGCAAGAAGCCCCTGGTCTACAATGTGTGGTTTCTCAGAAATGAAGAGGGAGCTTAATGCACAGTGAGAGAAACTTCGTGGTTTCTCCATCATTAGTCTTTTAAAAATAACCATCTGGGTTTTCTCTCAATCAATGTCTTAAAATAAATGTAGACGTTTTTAGACAAAAGTCAAGACTCTCTCCGTTTAGGGCAGGTCTTTTTGTAAACAAGAATCTTGGTTGCAGCTGGGGTTTTGAGAGTGAAGGACAGGCAGACTGGACCCTGCAGGCTGGGCAGTGGTCTCAAAGTGGGGTCCCTGGCCTGGGGCCTCACATCACCTGGGAACCACCTCAGCTCTGGGGAGGGGCTGAATCGCCATTTCAACATCTGAGCATATGGTCTGGATCATCCTGCTTTTATTAGTCTGCAAATCTTCCTGGAGAAGAGTTTTCAGCGTTGCCTCTCAGCTTAGTTCAGCTATAAAGTGGAAATAACAACTGAGACACACGGGTGATAAAGGTTCGTGTCAGCTCAAGTCTTCACTGGGTTGCACAGGTGCCCAGATGTCCCCAGGTGCCCAAGGTTTTCCTGGGAACACAGCCATGGACCCCTAGATTTATCCCAGCAGATGGCCAGAAACAAGGAAGCACTCAGACAATTAACTCTATATGGGATGGCCAAAGGCAGGGTTGGAGGTATTTTTTAAATAATATGGTTGCTTTTTTCCCCCCTCTAATCTTTGTCAAACAGTGTGCATTATCTAGTTTGGAAAATACATTAAAGATAGAAGGATTTGTTTCAGTGCCTTTGAAATCTTAGCTCTGCTGTCTACCCACTTGTACTACAGATAAGTCAACAGTGAATATGACATTTACGTTGTTTATTTTTCAATTGCATATTCTGTTAGGGAACATTTTGAAGACTATGACCATGTGTTGAATAATATGAATTCTTGAAAGACTCTCAGACTTTTGCAGAATTGTTTTTTTCCAAAGTTTACAGCAATTATGTGCTCACCTGACCACTGCCTTTATTCTGTACTTGGGTTGGCTTGGTGAGCAAGCAGTCACCCCTGTAACTTGGAGGGTGCAATGGTTTTATCTCTCATTCCCTTGTTCCTGTGCTTTGCCCATGGGGGAACTCTAAAGACTGAAATATTTTGGGGCTAAACTTGGGGGTTTGACCTTTGATTTTTCTCTCACAGTTAGTACTCTTACCACTTGAGCCACATCTTCACTTTGATTTTTTGCTGGTTCATTGGAAAAAAGAGTCTTTCAGTTTTTTTTACCTGGGCTGGCTTCAAACTGTAATTCTCAGCTCTCAGCCTCCTGAGTAGCTAGGATTACAGGTGTGCTCCATAGGTGCCTGGCTATTGAAGGATTTTTTAACATGGAATTAATTTCCAAACCAATATAATGCTTTAAAAACAGAAGAAAACAACCCAGAATCATAGGGTTTCATTGTTAAAAAATAAATGAATCAAAAATAAAAACAGTGACATTCACTATTGATTATACTATTCTCAAAAAAAGCGAGCAAATCTTAATATTTGGTGTTCAGACAGGGCAGAGGTAGTGAAATGGTATCCAAGGCAAAACTTTGATGGACTAATTTTGTTTGTTTAAGGTGGAGGAGAGTGTGGCTCTGTTGCAAAGGTTGATCTCAAACTCTATGCTCAACAGACCCTCAAACCTCAGCCTCCAAGTGCTGAGACTATAGGTATCTACCAGGCAACCCAGTTGATGGAATATTGTGCAGCCTTTAAAATAATGGTTATAAGGACTACTTAGCTGTTGAGGATCTGCAGGAGTTGTTGGTACAACTGAGTGGGAAAATGCCTTTTTGCAGACAGGATGGGGGAAGATCAGTCAGCACATAGTTCTCAGAGAGGATAAGGCCTGAGCCTGGCCAACACCCTCTGTCAATATTCTCATTGCATTTTATAGTAAATAGTAATAAGGAAGGAGAAAGAGCCAGGTCCCCCGATCATACACATAGACTATTCAGGAAGTGTCTGGAAAAGGCTTCAACTTCCACTCTGGTAGGAGCTGCCCCTTTCCTGTCTTGCGGTCTTACCTTTCCACTGGAAATCCCAGCACCCTGATCCTGAATCTAAACTGATTTTAGCAGGCTGACTCTCTCTTCTTCTCCTTCTCCTCCTCCTGCCCCTTTCGAATTCTTAAAATGGTTTAGTTCTCACCAAATAGTGGCGTAGGTCAGGCCCCTTTGAAAAGAAAAAAAGAAGATCAAAAGTAATCCTTTGTTAAATTCAGATGCTCAGTGCCTTAATATGGGCTGTTTGGGGCCAGAGACCCCTATGTTCAGGGTGTAGTTTAGGCTGTGCCTTCTCCAACCCATTGCCTCTGTGTTGGCTGGCTAAGCAAAGTCCACTTACCAGCTGTGGTTAGAAGAGGTGGCCCTCTTTCCCAGACCTTAATCTTGACATGTGTTTGACCTTGATTGTCCTTTTCTTTCAGAGTTTGTCTGTGGGGTGGGTGTCATGCAGTTAGAAGGTGTTGTGAGCTCATCAGGAGCCCCGGAATCTGGTCCAGTTTTCATGGCTTCCTGTGACAGGATCTCATGTGCCACCCAGTCCCTTGGTAACATGAAGATGCTAAGCAAATTTTCTCAAAAAATGGTTGTAAAGATCTGAAGGTCCTAAGGTATAGGACTCTGAGTCCCACATGACTTAGCCTGGTAAATTGGGGTGGCTTATTCATAAGACTTGTATCTAAGAAATCAAACAAACCAAGGGCGGGGGGAACAAAAGTTTCCTTGAATATAAAAGAAATAATTTGGGAATCACTGGTCTAGACAACGTGGTGAGGCTATTTCAGATGTGGGAATCCACAGCCCCAAAGTGGAGTGGGGCTGACACCAGGGGCTCTTGTGCCCCGCCCCCAGCCTCTGGCCAGCTGGCCCCTCCCTCAGCCCTGGGTAATCCACCGGCTGCCAGGGCCCCTTTTGCTTGCCTTGCTCCTCCCTGCTCCCAGCCCCACCCACCACCCCTGGCCTGTCAATCAAGGCCCTCTCCTTCTCTAGGGCCCAACTCTAAGTGTCCCTCCCCTTCCCCACAAGCCTCCTCTGACCCCTACCCCAGACCCTCCAAGTCTGGACTAGGTGGTGCCCTGTAAGTTCCATACATTTCCATCTCAGCCCTTGTGCCCTCTACAACTGTGTTCTCACCCCCAGACACAGGGGAAGGGGTGCAGAATCATCAGTGCAGGAGGCCATGGGCAAATCCCATCACTGCTCCCTACAAATGTGGGCCCATCCGCTGGGCCTCAGTTTTCTCATCTGCACAATAGGAGTTCTAGTATGTCTGGCACATGTGAAAACTGATTCTCTTCCCCTCTTCACTGAATCCCTGTTATCTGAAATCTTGCTTTCTTTAGTTTCATAGCCCAATGTCAGTCTGAATATATTCTATGGAAAATTCCAGAAATATCTAATCTGAATAACATCACAGAATCTCAGACTGCCCTGCCTCTTCCCACTTGGACCATGAATCATCTCTCTGTCCAGCATATCTACTCTGTATAGGCTACCAACCATTCTTCACTTAGCAACTGTCCACTTCCCAGATTGACTGTAATAGTATCTCAGTGCTGATGTTTAAGTAACTCTGGTTTACTTAATAACGGCCCCAATGTGCATGAGCAGTGATTTAAATTAGGTGCCAAGGCTTAAAACATGGAGAGAGAAATTAATTCTGTGCTATGTGCAAACACTGAGGGACAGATAAGAAAACACATGGCATATATACCTATATATAACGTATACTATTATAGATAACTAGATAACAGAATTCAATACTACCTGCGCTTTCAGGCGGTTGTTGGTTGGGGAGGTCTTAAAATACATCCCTAGAACATAAGGCAGGACTGGGGTTTTTTCTTTTATTTTTTCTTTTTGGATGCCAGTAGTGGGGCTTGAACTCACCATCGCGTTCTGTCACTCGGCTTTTTCACTCAAGGCTGGTGCTCTACCAAACAAGCCACATTCTCATTTCCAAAAGGTTGCTGAGTCGTGTAGATGAGAGCTACTCAAAGTTCCAGCCCATGAATGGTTGGTTCCAGTCCAGGACACGAGGCCTGAGCCGTAGCATAAGCAGCACCCGCTTCCGTTAGAGCCGTGCCACAGCGAAGGATGAGGCGGGTGATTTGTGTTCTGGCGCAAGCTCCTCATCTGGTCTGGAGCAGGGATGCACACTGTTCATGGAGTTGCTACTGTCGGGGCCTCAGTCAGAGCAGCATTCTTTAGGAAGTAGGGAACTGGGTTTTGGTGCTGGTGTTTGGTTTTTGTTAGTTGCTGGTCCTGGGGCTTGAACTCGGCCCTGGCGCTGTCCCTGAGCTTCTTTTGCTCAAGGCTAGCGCTCTACCACTTGAGCTACAACACCACCTCCGGCCTTTTCTGAGTAGTTTATTAGAGATAAGAGTCTCACAGACTTTCCTGCCTGGGCTGGCTTCAAACCTCGATCCTCAGATCTCAGCCTCCTAAGTGTTAGCATTCCAGTCGTGAGCCACCAGTGCCCAGCTGGGAGCTAGGTTTTCAGGAAGACATTTCTGTGTGGTGTCCAAGAGCAAGGCTTTGTGTGCAGTTAAAATCCGAGCCCCCTCACTTTCTACCCAGGTATCCCCCACTTCTCTGAGACTCAGCTTCGATAGCTGTGAAAAGTACTGCACATGCTATTTAAGTTCCTGGTGCCCAGGCCTGGTGAGCCTCTGTGACTCGGCCTAGGCCCAGCCTTCAGAATGAAGCACGGTAGGGAGAGAGGCTGGGTCTTGCCAGTCAGCCTTTCTCGTGCATGGCAGCGCCCTGATGCCATCTCTCTGTCCACAGGGATGTGTCTGCAGGCATTTGTAGAAGCTTTCTTCTTCCTGGCCCAGAGGAAGTTCAAGATGATGCCGCTCCACGAGCAAGTGGCCTCGCTGATCGACCTGTGCGAGTACCACCTGTCCCTGCTGGACGAGAAGCGCCTGCTGTGCAGCGGGGTGGGACGGCGGGGGACAGCGCCTGACCACAGCCTTCCGCAGGAGACAGTCCCCACTGCCCAGTCCACGGGCACCATCGTGGGGGCCAGTAAGCTCTCCTACTCCAAGCCTGCTCTGTCCTGAAGGCCACTCTGTCCCAGAAGTGTGAGCCCTTCGGGGCCAAAGACAGTCCAGGGCCCCTGCCTTGGAGAATCCTTAGCCACAGATGCTAAGGATTCTCTGCCCAGGACCCCCACCTGGCTGAGAGCCCTGTAAATTATTTTCGTATTCTGCAGCACCCCAATTTCTAATGCCAATTCTCACCATCCCCCCACTTCCTCTCAGTTCCTCTTGCTGACCCGCCCTGTTTGCCAGTCATCAGTGGACATATGACATCTAAAACAGGACAGATGGCACCTGCTATTCTGGGCTCACAGGAAGCACCCACTGGGAGAAATCTGCTGTGCTCAAACAGGGTGGGAGCAGGAGGGTCAGCAGCCATCCCCAAGCCAAAGCTGGGACTTGGGCCTCTGAGACGCTGCTGCTCCAAGCCCAAGGACTCCATGTTTCCTTCCTTCCACCCACCCTCTCTGCAAATCAAGAAGGCAGTCTTGACCCTCCCACCTCAATCATGTGCTATGTGGATGTAGTTAACAAATTAGCCTCATTTATTTCGTTAATTTGCCTGTTGCCACAATGTTTGCTTTGTCACTAATTAAGACGTAATTAAGACGTAAGTTGGGTTCCTACAGCCTCAGCGGTAACCAGAGCCTCCGAGTTGGTTCAGTTTGGTTTAGTTTGGCCTTGATGTCAAAACAGTCTCCCTATCCAGGTGGCCTTGTGGCCTCAGAATGGACCCTTGAAGGGCTGGGGTGCTGACAGAATGGCCAAGGCCCCATGCTGGGAGCCCTGGGAGAAGAAAGGGGAGGGGAGAGGGTCCTGGGAGGAAGACACAAGACTCCCATAAGAACCAGGCCACAGGAGCACGCACTTGAGCAGTGTGAGCAGGGATCCACTGTGTGAAACAGAGGTTGAAACCCTCAGGGCTGCTCTTCTGAGACCCCCCCAGGCCGCACAAACGGATGTCCCAGTACAGGCAGTTGCATCTGGACACACTTGTTTTCATCCAGGAGCTGCCAAGAGTCTGGTAATAGAAGTTCTAACCTGACACCATTTCCCAAAGTGGAGCTGCAGCTAGTTCTCCGGTGCCGGGCATTTCAGCAAGCCCGCTGGACATGGGCAAGTGAAGAGCCAAGAAGTTGCACTGTAGCCGTGTCCGGGGTGGTGGAGGAAGTTGGAATTCATGGGATTAATGTCAGCTAGAGGCAGGTCTGAGACACAGGCCCTGTCCTGATGGAGCCCAACGTCCCAGGAGCAGCCTCTGCCCTGACGTGACTGGGAAAGGAGGCGGCCAGCTCACCAGAGGCCCCCAGGTGACTGACAGGGCTCTTTCCCCCTAATACGATTGGGCAGAAAGCATGCAGAGGTGCTCCATTGTAAGAGGGAGCGCTAGGAACCTTTGGGAAGTCCCACTGTGTTTCCCACCTTGGGTGACTCACTCACCCCTCCTTTTTCAGGCTATGGTTCACATAAAAGCAAAAGCAGATGGTTTCTTCTTCCTAGCAGGAAGACAATAGCTAGGGCCCCCTCCGCATGCCTGTGCTTGGCTGTGGCATCACCCCGTTCCTTAGGCCTAGCCTGGGGCCGGGGGGCAGCTCAGCTTTTCTGCTATTAGAGGCAGGAAGAGCTCTGAGCCACCACCTAGCCACAAGAGAGCCTGCCATGGTGTCTGCCAAGATGCTCCAGCCAGCAGGTGCCGCTCCTTGGGAGCCGATCGGGGCCTCCCGGAGTCCAGAACCTCCATCCCCCAAGACAAGCCTCCTCATGTTCCTCCTGTAGAACCGTGACCACTTTTTTTTTTAACCCAGATCTCATCTTTTCCCTCTCCTGGCCTGGCCTGTGTCCTCGCCTCCCACCCCCAGCTGTGACTCCAGGCCTGTGCTGTTCCCTCGGGGCCCCTCCCAGGAGCCTGTCCATAGCCTTAAAAATCCTGCCTTTCTCACCTGTACTACACCAATTGGCTCAATATCTCCAGATGGTTCCTTGGCTGGTGCCTTCTCTTTCCGAAGGCTAGTAGCCATCTCATGACACTGACACCCCGAATAGATCATAATTATGTCCCCCATACTGGCCTTGATCTCAGAGCCTTGCACTTGCTCTGCAGGTGCTCTACCATCTGAACCATACCCCTAGCCCTTTTTGCTTTAGTCCTGTTTGATAGGATCTCACAGTTAGGCCTAGACAGTGATTCTCCTACCTACATCATCTGTATAGCTGGGATCATAGGTACATAGCACTAGGCCCAGCCATAATAGCTTTTCTAATTCAAGTCCAGTTCAGGTCATCTTCCCCAAGGACACCCACCCCCCCACCCCCCGCTTGGCATCCAGCCTGACCTGTCCTCAGAAAAGAAGTCATCTTGCTATGAATGTAGACGTGTGTGAAATACAGACAGGCCTGGGGAGGATTCCGCCTTTCCTGTATGAATTTAACAACAACAACAAAAATAGTGCTTCTCAGTTTACAACGTGGTTTTAAATCTTTTTCCGCATCTAATCCTCTCAGTGACCCAGCACTGAGATGAGGATTATCATCACTCTAATGATAGCCAGGAGGTCCTATGGCTTGTCTGAGGCCCTGGGTCTGCAAGCATCTGAGAATGCACGTGTCAGAAAAGTCATGTATATGCTCAGCGCATGCGTGGAAGCTCTGGGTCCCTGGGTCATTTCCCCTGCGCTTCTTTCATGGAGCACCCTGGGAAATTCTGCAGGCCACATAGACTGTTGCGCCTCCAGGCCTCTAGCCACCCTTGTGGGGGTCCATATATTGCAACCTTTGGGTGCAGTCACAGAAAGCATAATAAATGTGGAAGTGTTTCATAAACCAAAGTGCTGTGGAGATGTCGTGTTACTTCAGGCCGCTTTCTGGTTTCTTACACAGTGTGGCTGGTCCACAAAGTGAGACACTTTCTTGAATCATGTCTCTCAAGACAGATGATGCCAAACCGGTCAGCTCCACTCCCTCCACACTCCCCCTCATCCTCACCTCCTTGAAGACACTGGGGCTTGAAAAATGGCCCTTGCCACTCCTCGGACATATGGAATCTGCTTTGTGATTGGCAGACTGCTCCTCCAAAATAACTCCATTTCCCCCCTCCAGCCCCCTTTCCTTTCTTCATTAATATCCTAGACTCCCATTCCTGTGAGAACCACACTTGCAGTGCTCTGCCTTTGTTGGAAGCTCAGGAATGATGATGATGCTCCCAGTGGCTGGGAGAGCTGTCCCCCCAGCTCAGCGAGAGAAATTCACCACCGTGCAGTCCCCGAAAATCCTCCCACAGGCTCTTAGTTGATGGACATGACAGAAATTTCCCCACGTGGCACCATGAATTTCTCCCTCACAAAATAAGTCCAATTTTTTTTTTCCTGTTCCCAGAGACAAAGGATTACTACAGACTATTCAATTGCTTTCATTGCTTGTAACCCAAAGTCTAGCTTTTTCTACAGCTAAGAAAATCATGCTTATACACACACACACACACACACACACACACACACACACACACACACGCACACACACACACACACACACACACACGGGTGGAAGGGGAGCACATATTCTGATTAGTATTGAGCCTTGATATAAAATAGGTCACTGCTGTTCTCATTTCTAGTTATTTGCTTCTGAGTTTGATTTAGCAAGCAGAGGGAAATGAGTTTGTGTATGTGCGCATGTGCACATGTGTATGCATGCCAGTAAGAAGACAGAACTCAGCTGGGTGCCAGTGGTTTATGCCTGTAATCCTAGCTACTAAGGAGGCTGAGATCTGAGGATCACGGTTCAAAGCCAGCCCAGTCAGGAAAGTCTGTAAGACTTTTTTCTCCAATAAACCACCAGAAAACCAGAAGTGGTGTTGTGGCCCAAGTGGTAGAGCACTTGCCTTGAGCTGAAGAGTTCAGAGACAGCGCCAAGCCCAGAGTTCAAGCCCCATGACCGACAACAAAAGAAGAAGAAGGAGGAGGAGGAGAAGGAAGAGGAGGAGGAGGAGGAGGAGGAGTAGGAAGATGAGGAGGAAGAGGAGGAGGAAGAAGAAGAAGAAGACGATGACGACGACAGAACTCAGGACCTCATGCTCTTTCTTATTTTGTTTTTTGGGGTTTTTTTGTTTGTTTGTTTTTGCTTAAGGCTGGTACTCTGCCACTTGAGCCACACCTCCACTTCTGGCTTTTCTTTACTTTCTTTATTTTCTTTCTTTATTTTCTTTCTTTCTTTCTTTCTTTTTATTTCTTTCTATTTAATTGAAGGTAAGTCTTGTGGATTTATCTGCCTGGGCTAGCTTTGGACCATGATTTTAGAGTTCAGCCCCCAGTAGCTAGGATTACAGCCATGGCACCTAACTAGAAGTGGGTTATTGAAAGCCCTAGTACAGCCTGACCTGCCTACCAGGAGGCTCCTGGGCAACATTATCTTCCACACAAAGCAGGGAGGTGGGGGATGAAGGGTTTGCTAAGACTCCAATCAGGGCTGTAGTCCCGGCCTCCATGGCCCCCAGGGCACCAATCAGCTGCAGGCATCAGAATGGGGAACCCCAAAGGGGCCAAAACTTTTCTGGAAAGGCGGAGAGCTTTGGATTTTGCCTTACCTGATATACTCTACGTGGCCACAGACCTCTCCTTGACTCTTGCTTTCTGTGTGTTGGGGCGGGGGAAGGGAGAGTGCTTGAACTCAAGGCCTAGGTGCTGTCCTTAAGGTTTTTTGTTTTTTTTTCTCAAGGCTAGTGCTCTATCATTTGAGCCACAACTCCACTTCTGGCTTTTTGCTGGTTAAGAGTCTCATGGACTTTTCTGTCCAGGCTGGCTTTGAGCCTCCATCTCATATCTCAGCCTTCTGAGGAGCTAGCGTTACAGGTGTGAGCCACCGGTGCCTGACTTGACTCTTGTTCTTTGTACAGTAGAGATCTTGTCATAATAGATGCGCAGAGCCGGGCAGGCGCTTGGGAAGTGTCTGTGCAAATGTCTGCGGACACAACTCATGGTCTCCATATGCTCTGCCTGGAGCCCGGCTGCCAGCCCATCAGCCCTGGT